TGCTGACTTCAGTGGGCTGTGTGACAAGAAAAATCTACAGGAACTGAGGATGAATGTTAAATGTCAACCATTACTTACAGTACCTGGAAAGTTGTACCTAATGCTAAACATAGATTAGTGCTTTTAAGGGGTTGTGGTTTGAATTTCATCTGAGGCAAGAGATTATAAATAGCCCCCCTACCCCATTTTCATTGTATTTTACCTCTGTTGGGACAGGAGAGAGATCATTTGAATTTACACTTTAAATATTCCAGGAAGTTCAGCTCTTAAAAACTTTCTATCCAGTAACTCTTGATTCATTAGGCTGAATATTCAAAACAGTTCTTAGAAACAAGATAAGATCGCTCAATTCTTAGAAACAAGGGAATGCCTCCAGAGCATAGTTCATTTGATTTCATTGGGCTGCTTGTGGGAATAACTCTCTACGGCATTGAGCCCCATGTTAGACAAAGGTTAGCAAGGGAAACTGGACAAGAAGGGCAAGCATGGGAGGCAAGTGTGGCTGGAAAAGGTAGATGATTTAAGACCAAAAAGGGACCATTATGATCACCTAGCCTGGTAATGAGAAGTACTTTTGTTACAGGCACATCTTGTTGGGCCCTTTTTAAATATAAAAATAATATGTTGAATTTAGTTAAAATGTAGAGGTTGGGTTTTTATTTCTAACTTCCCACATCCCCCCGCCCAACAGTAACACTATACAGAAATGTAACACCGCCCTGAGAAAGCTGAGACTGTCCGATACAAAGGGGCAGAGGGCCAGGCTATGAAGAAGGGGCTAGCAAAAAGGGAAGCAAATTCGGCACCGTCAGGCCAACCCCAGCACTCACTGACCCAGGACCCAGCAGGAGAAACCCCAAGAGGCAGGTGGTGTCTGAGCACAATCCGCCCTTGTGACAAGGTTCACCAAAGAAGTGGTGAGTATGGAGTGGGAGGGCTCACCCCGTTAAGGACTTTAAGGGAGGGAATTTCAAAAGTGCTCAGCCTTAGCCTAACTCAGTTTCCGTTGAAGTCAAGGAAGCTTTACCACTAACTTCAGTGGGAACAGAGTTAGGCCAATGCTGAGTCTTTTCAAAATCTCACCCTAATTCCTACAGTCAGTCCACTGGAGGACAGTGTACACAACGGAGCAGAGGTGTAAACTGGCTCACTGGGGTTGAGTAGACGTGACCAATGTGCAGTTCCATTCCCAACAAGCTGCATGCAAAGACCTGCTGTAAAGTCAAATCAGGGCCCTAATAAGAAAAACTTATAGAATTAAGCCAATCTCTGAATTTACAATGTGGGCCATTGTCTTTAATCCTGACCACCAGGTATTGTGTGTGTCACAAAATCCAATTGCCTCCCTACGCTGGCAGTAAACAGTTTGTCCCTACCATGAACAAAGGCCTCCTTTGCTATGAAGGCACCTGAGGGTGAGGCAGAGCGCAGTTAATCCCCATGGAGAAGGCAACACCTTCAGGTGTGTTTGTTTAAAGGATCATGCACTGATATCAATTGAAGATTGAGTTCTTTTAGGTATTTAGTTGGATCTAGCATAAGGTATATACCATGAAGGCTTGGCCATTAATCTAACGCACAGAGAAAAAAATTGGTTTTTCCTGCCCTCAGGCACTCATGAGATGCTTGCAGGGCTTTTTTGCCGTTGCAGTTTCCTCCCTTACCTCTCCATATCCTTATTTCAAGGACATAACATAGAGCAGATCAGGGCATGAAACCCGGGTATATTAATGGAAGATTTGCAAATAATACAAGGTTCTTAAACAAAACAAAACTGCAGCCTTTTTCCAGACCGAGGCCCTGATCCTACAACAAGCTCTACACAGATAGAAGGGCCTGTCCACCCAGAGCTCATGGCAGGATCACACCCTGGGTTCTATTTCTAATCAGACCTGCAGGTTCATTTTGTCTTAGCAACTTGCTAGTGTTGGAAGGTGCTTGAATTCAGCAGCCGCCGGATTGCACTTGGCTGTTTGCCTTGCAGCGCAGAGCTCTCTCTGCAGCGGGTCTGCTCTCCCTGGAGTGTGCAGAACCATTTACAATAGAACTTAGTTCTCTCAAATGCCTCTCAGCAGAAACATGATTTGCCTCTGCTCTAACGTCTCCCTGCAAACGCTGTGTCAGAATAGCTAGCAGGAGGGTTGTAGGGAGCATTGGTTTCTATCTGATTTTCATATCATGCTTTGGACAGATTCTGGATCAAATTTAGCCTTTTCTTAAACGAGCACAACTCCAGGGTTCAATGCGCTCTCTTATGCCAGGACTGAATTTGGCCCATTGTGTGCCACAGGAAATAAGTGGTTTAGATGCATTGAAGCCTGACTCAGAGGGCTTTCTAGATTGTTTTGTTTTCCTTAGCAGTATAGGACCATTTCATGTATGTTTTCCATACAGTTTGTAGTCTGAAATAACCAGAGGGGCTTGATTTTATTGCATAATCTATCAGTGAGTCATTCTCCATCTGTGATTGTTACATCCACATTCTAGTTGCTTCCTTCTATGGTGGTGTTGGTTGTCCTCTGCGATTTAGTATGTCAGTTTAGTATGTTCTTTTACTTATTTGTTTAGTTTGAGACACACAATTTATATGCGGCTCATTTCCCTTTTCTATTTTAATGTAACATAAAGTGGGGAGTTATTGTAGTGGTCATGAAAAGTGTTGATTGACAGCCACAAAAGTAGAAGTCCTTGTGCAGTACAGTACTACAGGTAGCAGCAGTGTAAGCTCTCCTGCAACCACGCCTCCTCAGTATTGTTCTGCAGGATCCACTGCTAACAAGGCAAAAGTTCACTCTGCGGCACCATTCAATCCTTTTGGCCATTCTGCTGAGGATTCGGGTTATGGGGGAGATTTGGTGGAGCGGCCTTCTGTTCTCTAGGAATTGTGGAAGACCGGCTCATTTCAGATTGGTAACTGAGCAAATGGCAGAAGGTAATAACTTATACTCACTATAGGCCTGAACTGAAATGATATCCTGAACAGCTGCTGGATACTGCTGATTCCCATGAACAATCCCCTATCTAGTCTCCTTAGAGCTCTCTCTTTCTTCTTTATCACTTGCTCGTTCTTTGCTGCTGATGCACATCTCCATATGCCAATATCCCATTGCCTCTACTCCAGTGACATCCCCCACACCCACATACAGCAGCAGCAGCAACTGGCAGATGGGCACAGGCACTCGGTTTCCTTTCTTCTCCTCACAGCCCAGAACAGTCAATCTGGGGACTGAGATTTTGCAGAACTTTGGCCTCTGGCTCCTCTTTGGTAGCCTAAAGCTCAAAGGCTGAGAGCAGATCTCTCAGATAATGCATTTCTAAGGATGTTCCAGCAAGGATGGATCCATTTCTTAGGGAATTTTCTTCCATGAAGCAGTCTCCAGTTCCCCCCACCCAGTCTGACCACAAGATAAAGAACATGTGGAGCTTGGATGCAGTTGGAGGGTAGGAGATTTTAATTCTCCAGGAATCTAGGCCAAGGAAATTGAGAAACTGACATTCTCTGAAGCCCCAAGTCTGCTCAGAAGCTCAACATCTACAGGGTTATGTGCTCCATCAAATGATTCTTAAGCTAATAGGAGTGGATGGCGCTTGGTATCTTGTAGGATCAAGCACTTACTGAGGGATTCTCCTTCATTCAGTGGTAGGTGGTAAAGAGAAGAGCAACCGTTCTGTTTTCCCACATGTCTTTTTTTTCCACTCTCCAGATTTCCCTTCTTTAATGGTGAGGGAAAAAACAGGGCATCGGATCCTCTAATGTATCATCCGTTTAAAATGTCAGAACAGTCTTCGTAATTTGCCTCCTTTTTATACGGTATATTAGTAAATATAGAAACACAAGAGTTGAGATTTCACAAAATAACGTTTGTAATTCAGGTCCAGGCCATTTCACAGCTTGTGACATTTTATTTTGCCTAACGTATTTGCAAAATAATTGGGAGAGTCAACTGTCAGTGAAAAAAATCTGTATTTCCAAC